CCATCTGCCTCGACCGGCTGGTTGAGGGACAGGATAGAGACACAGACAAACACAGAAGAACTGGTCCAGGACTGCTCCAGGTGCACCTTCTTCTGGAAGAGACAAAGATAAAACATGATAGAAATAATAACAATAAACATGCAGAGAAGAGAGACTAAAGACAACAGCAGAGTGAGGAAATGTGCTCAGTTTGTGCTCCAGCAGCCTAAGTCTATAGCAGCAGAAATGAAAAATAATTCAGGAAACCTAAGTCTAACTATAGAAGACTTTTAGTTCTTTACATTAGAACTGGAGGCCAGATTAATGCCATCCAGAGGAGGTGAAAGGCTACAAAGTTGATCCCTAAGATGTTCAGGTCCAAAAACCATAACCCCTGCCTTATCCGAGTTTAGAAGCAGAAAGTTAAGAGTCATCTATGTTTTTATGTCTGTAAGACATGCTTGTAGTTTAAGTAACTGGTTGGATTCATCAGGTTTCAAGGATAAATATAACTGAGTATCATCAGAGTAACAATGGAAATTTATCCCATGCTGTTTAATAACTTTACCTAATGGAAGCATATACTGTATAAAGTGAAGAGGATTGGTCCAAGCACTGAACCCTCAGGAACCCCATGACTAACTCTGGTGTAAGGAGAGGATTCATTATTAACAAACTGAAATCTATCGGTTAAATAAAACTCAAACCATTTTAGAGCTGTTCCTGTAATCCCAATATCAAGTTCAAGTCTACGTAACAAAATATTGTGATCAGTTGTATCAAATTCAGCACTGAGATCTAACAGGACAAGAATGGACACAAGTCCACTGTCTGAGGCCATGAGAATATCATTAATAACTTTAACCAGTGCTTTTTCTGTGCTATGATGAGCTCTAAACCCTGACTGAAACTCCTCATATAGATTATTTCTATCCAGATGTTCACATAGTTGATTTGCAACTATTTTCTCAAGAATTTTTGAGATGAATGGGAGATTAGAAATAGGTCTGTAGTTGGCCAGAAGAACTGCTGAATAAAGATCAGGTTTCTTAAGTAAAGGTTTAATTACAGCAACCTTAAAGCTCTGTGGCACTTAACCATTCATTAGAGATAAATTAAGTACATCTAAAGTATAGATATTAATTAAGGGAAYTACTTCTTTGAACAGTCTGGTAGGGATGGGATCTAGCGAACCTGAAACCACATCTTAGACTGGTTCTCACCCTGTCTCTGCTAACTTCACATGTTTCTGATGTGAAACAGGGTTTTTATTGGTCTTATCTGTGTGAGCCAGCTGTTGTGAGACCCAATCCACCTTTGTTGCTGTTTGTTGGGAATCTGAGGCTTGTTTTGGTTTAATCMGCYTCTCTTTCTTTAAATCACAGGCCTGATTGGTTTATTACATTTATATTAATGATGGTAATAAACAGGGCTGCATGATTACAGCCAGTGTCAACATGTGAAGCAGCAGYCAAGTTCAACAGAGACATTTTGAAAGACCTTTTAATAAATCTAGAAAACTATAGATAAATATTTGAAAGAAAGTCTGGCTGCTGTAAGACAGACACAATGTTAAATACTAAAAATTATTAAAAACAGTAGTTGAAGTTTACAAGCCTAACTCACTGATCAAAGTTCAGTTTAAACTGTTTTATTTAAATGTGTAAAATATAAATGACAAAAACGTACATTTCTCAGTTCTGATAATCAGTGTGATTTTAGAAACAGTTTCTTCTTTGTGAAACTAAAGCAAATAAAGTCTAAATTGTCCRTCAGGCTGCGACAGTCACAGACAGACACCACACAAACACACAGTCCCAGAATCCTTTACAGCAACATGGGTGTGTGTCTGACTTCAGAGGCATCTCTCTGCTTCTGTGTTGTGTGTGTGAGGACAGAAAGTGTGTGTGTGAGGACAGAAAGTGTGTGTGTGAGGACAGAAAGTGTGTGTGTGAGGACAGAAAGTGTGTGTGTGAGGACAGAAAGTGTGTGTGTGAGGACA